AATGCAATTATATGATGACTAATAACTTAATGAAATAGAATTTGAATAGGCAAAAGGAACCTTTTTTTCAATGGACTTTTTTTTACGGCAAATTCTCTTGGAAATCAGTTTAGCTTTCAGCATATGTTGTCGCAATAGATCAACTGGTTGGATCTTGTAAGCCAACTTATATGCACAAATGAATCTAACAGCTTCAATATGCTGCTGGTTCTGGACAAGATTCTGAACAAAATCTGCGAGACACAAGACAATTTCACTTTGTCAAATCAAAGCAGAAAAATCCTATGATATATTACATCAGAAAAATCAGCAGAAGAATTAGGACATGCTCGTAGTGACTAGTTCAAGGCAAAAAAAAAATACAGGCAAATGGTATCCAAAAGTTGTTAGGGAAGGAAAAACAAAAAGCAAATCTTAGATTTAGAAAATTCATATAGCTGTCTTATTTTCTTTTTCGATAACATTTTTAATATATATTTTTTTTTAAAAAATCCTCTCAATTATCTACACCCAAAAAGAAAAGAAAAAACAGGGCTACAGGTGACTAAATAAGACAATTGTTAATAAACATACCAGAGATTTTATCCACAAAACCAAGGGTCCGAAACAGCGAAACAGCTTGCTTGTGTTGTGCAGCAAATTCAAAAAGCTTTAAAACTTCATCTTCATTAAAATAAGAAACTAATCCATAAACAGACAAGAGCAGTAGAAAACCCAAAACCACCAAAGAATTTTCAGTATTAGCTCTCATGTTAGCTTTCAGATCAAGTGCTAGCTTCATTGCCTCTTCTCTCAAATCAAGTGCTAGCTTCACTGCCTCTTCTCTTACATGAGGTTCAATACGTGGTGACATTCTCATCAGCTGTTCTAAAAGAAAGATGTGACTCTCAATCATTACACCTCGTTTCCCTCCCTATTCTGTGGAACAATAGGGTTCTGTATTATATCCAAAACGAGTTTTGCTGGATCTAATGATGTTTGGAGATGAACAGAAATTTCGTTATCAATCAACTCGGACTCATTTGTTTGCTCATCAGAGAGCAACTGCAAATCTCTTCCATGGAACGATTATCTGTGTAAGACAAAAACTGAATATTTAGCTAGCAGATATTTAAGCTTCCTCATGTTTATAAAAGCATCAGAAAATCAAGGTGACAATTGGAAAACAATGATCATAGAAAGCAATATGAAAGTATGCAAAGCTCTCCAAGATTGATATGCATGGGTGACATAAGGAAAGTCGCTTTATAATAATATCTGCAAAAATTCGGTTTGGTTCGACCCATGCACAAATACGGTTGAGGTCAACTAAATAGTGCCATTTGAAGGAAACTGAACAAATGTTGTAACTTGTAAGCCACACACCATTTCGAATATAGTTTAAGAATGGACTACATTAATTTATTAAAATCGACTTAATGAAGGATGCAAAGTAAGAGTTTCTACAACTGTTTAAAAAGGTCCACAATATAATTCTAGTCACTTGGACAACAAATCATTAAAGATATTTATATACCTAACTATTCTTTCAATTTGATCAAGATATACAACATTAACCTGACTACAGAGAATTTCAACAAAACACAGATCAGGTGAATAAAAAATATCAGTATAATTAAAGGCAACAGTTGAGATGAAAATTGTTCCAACAAACTAGAGAAAGAAGTGCATATACCTTGTAGTTTTTCAATACAACCAAGGGCTTGTGGAGTCTGACAATGGTGGGCAATTATGTCTAGAAGATTCTGAAGTTCATTTTCATTGAAAGATGAACCAATCTCATAAGTAGCAACAAACTTCAAAAAATCTAGGACCCCCAAACAATCCTTATCACCTGCAGCTATATTCACCTTCCAGTCACTTGCCAATTTCATAGCTTCTTGTTTCACATGCAAACTAGTTACTGGTGAAGACTTCTTTAATTCATCCATCAAAAAACTACTGCATATTCTCCTTAAAATATTTGCATCATATTCAATAAGTTCTTGCCTCAATTGAGGAGAATGAAAACCTTTTATTGTATCTAGCACCAACTTAGCAGGGTCAGCTGATGTGTGAAGAACATCAGAGACTTGACTACACAGCAACTCATATTTTTTCAGAAGATTAAAAAGCAATTGTAAATCCTTGCTGTTGCTTACACTGTCAGCATCTTTAAAATACAGCTGCTCAGTCTCTACTTGATGAAGGAGGATATTGGACTTCTTGATCAACACTTTTTCCTCTTCAAATGATTTTCTTAATGATTCATATTGCTTCTCTTTTAAATCAAGTTCCCTTAGTTGTCCTTCAAACTGTCTCTCTTTTGACTCGAGCTCCTTTAGTTTCACTATAAATTGTGCCTCTTTCAAGTCAAGTTCCTTCACTTGCCCTTCAAATTGATTCTTTTTGGACTCAAGATCCTTCATTTGGCCTACAAACAGCTTCTCTTTTGACTCAAGTTCCTTTACTTGGCCTTCAAAATGCTTTTGTTTTGATTCAAGTTCCTTCACTTGACCTTGAAACTGCTTCTCTTTTGAGTCAAACTCCTTTACTTGGCCTTGAAACTGCTTCTCTTTTGACTCAAGCTCCTTCACTTGACCTTGAAATTGCTTCTCTTTTGAATCAAACTCCTTTACTTGGCCTTCAAAATGCTTCTGTATTAATTCAAGCTCGTTCACTTGAACTTGAAATTGCTTCTCTTTTGACTCGAGCTCCTTTACTTGGCCTTCAATATCCTTCACTTGTTCTTCGAATTGTCTCTCTTTTGACTTGAGCTCCTTCACTTGGTCTCCATATTGCTTCTCTTTTGAAGAGAGCTCATTCAGTCGTTCATTAAGTTGCTTCTCTTTTGAAGAGAGCTCATTCGATCGTTTGTTAAGTTGCTTCTCTTTTGAAGAGAGCTCATTCGATCGTTTGTTAAGTTGCTTCTCTTTTGAAGAGAGCTCATTCGATCGTTCTTTAAATTGCTTCTCTTTCGAAGCCAGCTCCTTCACTTGCCCTTCATATTGCTTCTCTTTCGACTCGAGCTTTTTCACTTGCCCTTCGTGTTGCTTCTTCATTGACTCAAGGTCCTTCACTCCTTCAAGCTTCTTCTCTTTCTTTTCAATCTCCAAATTGCTTTCTCTCATCATCCATGTGAGAGTATCAATCTCTTTCCTCTTTGATCCAAGCTCACGAACAAGCTGATTGATTCTTACACGCATGGACTTAATTAAGTCCTTCCTTTTAAAATCTAGTTGGTTACCTTTTCCATTAATTAATCTCTTCATTGCATCAAGCTCTTCCTCTCGTCCTAAGCTCCATATTACATTCAACAATTTTCTCTGATAGAGCCCTGAGTTCATCTTTCTTCGCTTCACTATCTCTATGAATGTTATCCAGGAATTGATGAAAATCCATATCTTTCGCCATGAGCTCTTGCTCGCGCTCTCTAATCAAGTCCTCAATCAAAACTAGCCGTCCTTGCTTCGCTCTGAGATTGTTGACACATTCTTCAATTTCCATCTGCATTTTGTCGCGCTCAATGATCACCTGGTGCGCCATATCATGTTGCCAGTTACACGCTTCCTCCTTCAACCGCAGCTGCATCTCACACTCGCTAATGTGCTTCTGTATCAACTTGAGTTTCTCTTCCTTTGCTTCAAACTCTCTGTTACGTTCTTCCACTCGTCTTCGAATAGCATCGTATTCTCTCTCTTTCGCATCGATATCTCCACAAAACAAGCTCAATTGTCGTTTGATAGAACTAACTTGTTTGTCCTTAGTCTCAAACGCTTTGGAACGCTCCTCGATGTGTATCTCTAGGGAATGCAATCTCTGCTCTTGTGCTTCTCTCTTAACGCGACACTCCTCAATCGATTTTCGAAGCAATGCAAGTTCTTGCTCTTTCAAATCACGTTCGAAATAGGATCCCATAATTGATTCCTGGAGGCAGGCAGGCCTGTGCGATTACTGCAAATTATGATCAAAGGATGTAAATTTTTCGGTGATGGAGAAAGACGATGACGGATTAGGGTTTATCACGGATTCACAGGAGTGGGATTTTATAGAATTAGGTCTCACTGCGAAAACTTAAACAAACCTATTTATAACCGTCGTATAAATAAAAATAAAAATTAACAGCTGGTTTATGAATAAATCTTTATTTAGTGACTCAGCATCTATCCATTTAGTATAGCATATGCATTGACTCAGCATCTATCCATTTATCTCGTGTAGATAAAAAAAATGGGGAAGATTGTTCGTTATTTTAAATGATAAAAATTTACGTTATTTTAAAAGAGAGAGATAGATATATAATTTTATTTTTTAATTTAAATTAAAAAAAATCACTCACTTTCTCTCTATCGTGATTTTCATTCTCTGTATCTATCTCTATCTTAAAATAACATAATTTATGTCATTTAAAATGACAAACATCAAACCCTAAAATATATCATATTATCTAAAAAATAAATAATATGATATTCATTTTATCCACTGTTACAAAATAATAGGATAAATACATTGAATCTTATGATATCCTAAAGATTTATTCCTAATTAGCAGTGTGAATTTTAAAAAAAAAAATTTCTGTCTTTAGAAACTGGACTACTAAAGATTTATTTCCTTTTGGATTGAGGAATTAATTAAAAATATTTTGAAAATTTTAATTTATTTTTTATATATAAATTTTACCAAAAATTCTTCATTAATTTCCCCATTCACGTTAGTCTTTCAAAAGAATTAATATAGGTCTATTTTGAATTCAAAGATATCACGAGTCGATTTTTTTCTAAATCTTAAATTGGGCCCATAATTTTTAGCAAGGACCCAAAAGATATTTTATTTTAAAAAAATATATCATGTTTAATAACAAAAAGAAAATAAAACCCAAAACAAATAAAAATAATAAGTAAATTAAAAGATTATAAAATAAAGATAGTAAAAAGTATCTTATCTTATATTATAAAGGAATTTCATTCTGTGGAAACCTTGCTGACGTGTCGCACTGTGTTTCAATTTCACCAATGTGTTCACACTACAACATTTAAAAAACTTTCCTTTAATGGTAAATCGGTGAATATAATAAATACAAAAAAGAATTATATTTTCAATTGACAGGATTTGTTACTTTAAATCAATGGTCAAGATTGCTTATTCATTGATTTATAACTACTAAATCACTCTTTGTCGTCATCTTTGTTTTTTAAATAATTGATGTTGATCATGTAATCTAATCGTTTTTTTAACCTTTATTCAGTTTAATTCAAATCTTTACGTTTTTTGAAGAAAAAAAAACAGGATATTCATTGTTATTAAAACAAATGACTGTTTTATTCCATGAAATAACTGTTAAAAATCGGGATATTCATTGATTTATAACTACTTAATCACTCTTTGTCGTTATCTTTGTTTTTTAAATCTTTATTCAGTTTAATTCAAAAACTTCACATTTTTTAAAGAATACAATTCTATTTACTCGGAAAAAATTAATTAGTAAAAAAAAATAATAATTATACATATCCCGACCTTTGTTCCTTATTTTCAGATTTTTAAATTTAAATCTTTTATTAACCTCTTGATTTAGTGGAATCAGGTATGAGTGTTTTGTTATTAGAAAAAACTTCTGTTTTATTCCATGAAAATCTCATTTATAACTACTAAATCACTCTTTTGTCGTCATCTTTGTTTTTTAAATAATTGATGTTGATCATGTAATCTAATCGTTTTTTTTAACCTTTATTCAGTTTAATTCAAATCTTTACGCTTTTTGAAAATAAAAATAGGATATTCATTGTTATTAAAACAAATGACTGTTTTATTCCATGAAAATCTCATTTATAACTACTGAATCACTCTTTTGTCGTCATCTTTATTTTTTAAATAATTGATGTTGATCATGTAATCTAATCGTTTTTTTTAACCTTTATTCAGTTTAATTCAAATCTTTACGTTTTTTGAAATAAAAAACAGGATATTCATTGTTATTAAAACAAATGACTGTTTTATTCCATGAAATGACTGTTAAAAAAATGGGACATTCATTGACTTATAACTACTAAAACAGTCATTTGTCGTTATCTTTGTTTTTTAAATCTTTATTCAGTTTAATTCAAGAACTTCACATTTTTTAAAGAATACAATTCTATTTACTCAAAAAAAAATTAATTAGTAAAAAAAATAATAATTATACATATCCCGACCTTTGTTCCTTATTTTCAGATTTTTAAATTTGAATCTTTTATTAACCTCTTGATTAAGTGGAATCAGGTATTAGTGTTTTGTTATTAGAAAAAACTTCTATTTTATTCCATGAAAATCTCATTTATAACTACTGAATCACTCTTTTGTCGTCATCTTTATTTTTTAAATAATTGATGTTGATCATGTAATCTAATCGTTTTTTTAACCTTTATTCAGTTTAATTCAAATCTTTACGATTTTTGAAAAAAAAAACAGGATATTCATTGTTATTAAAACAAATGACTGTTTTATTCCATGAAATGACTGTTAAAAAAACGGGACATTCATTGACTTAAAACTACTAAAACAGTCATTTGTCGTTATCTTTGTTTTTTAAATCTTTATTCAGTTTAATTCAAGAACTTCACATTTTTTAAAGAATACAATTCTATTTACTCGAAAAAAAATTAATTAGTAAAAAAAATAATAATTATACATATCCCGACCTTTGTTCCTTATTTTCAGATTTTTAAATTTGAATCTTTTATTAACCTCTTGATTCAATGGAATCAGGTATGAGTGTTTTGTTATTAGAAAAAACTTCTGTTTTATTCCATGAAAATCTCATTTATAACTACTAAATCACTCTTTTGTCGTCATATTTGTTTTTTAAATAATTGATGTTGATCATGTAATCTAATCGTTTTTTTAACCTTTATTCAGTTTAATTCAAATCTTTTTGCTTTTTGAAAAAAATGGGATATTCATTGTTATTAAAACAAATGACTGTTTTATTCCATGAAAATCTCATTTATAACTACTGAATCTCTCTTTTGTCGTCATCTTTATTTTTTAAATAATTGATGTTGATCATGTAATCTAATCGTTTTTTTTAACCTTTATTCAGTTTAATTCAAATCTTTACATTTTTTGAAAAAAAAACAGGATATTCATTTTTATTAAAACAAATGACTGTTTTATTCCATGAAATGACTGTTAAAAAAACGGGATATTCATTGACTTATAACTACTTAATCACTCTTTGTCGTTATCTTTGTTTTTTAAATCTTTATTCAGTTTAATTCAAAAACTTCACATTTTTTAAAGAATACAATTCTATTTACTCGGAAAAAATTAATTAGTAAAAAATAATAATAATTATACATATCCCGACCTTTGTTCCTTATTTTCAGATTTTTAAATTTGAATCTTTTATTAACCTCTTGATTCAGTGGAATCAGGTATGAGTGTTTTGTTATTAGAAAAAACTTATGTTTTATTCCATGAAAATCTCATTTATAACTACTAAATCACTCTTTTGTCGTCATATTTGTTTTTTAAATAATTGATGTTGATCATGTAATCTAATCGTTTTTTTAACCTTTATTCAGTTTAATTCAAATCACGGATTCACAGGAGTGGGATTTTATAGAATTAGGTCTCACTGCGAAAACTTAAACAAACCTATTTATAACCGTCGTATAAATAAAAATAAAAATTAACAGCTGGTTTATGAATAAATCTTTATTTAGTGACTCAGCATCTATCCATTTAGTATAGCATATGCATTGACTCAGCATCTATCCATTTATCTCGTGTAGATAAGAATTGGGGAAGAGTATTTGTTATTTTAAATGATAAAAATTATATTTTTTTAAAATAAAGATAGACATATAATTTTATTTTTTATTTAAAATTTAAATAAAAAAAAATCACTCACTTTCTCTCTCGTGATTTTCATTCTCTGTGTCTATCTCTATCTTAAAATGACATAATTTATGTCATTTAAAATGACAAACATCATACCCTAAAAAATATCATATTATGTAAAAAATAAATAATATGATATTTTTTGTATCCACTGTTACAAAATAATAGGATAAATACATTGAATCTTATGATATCCTAAAGATTTATTCCTAATTAGCAGTGTGAATTTTAAAAAAAAAAATCTCTGTCTTTAGAAACTGGACTACTAAAGATTTATTTCCTTTTGGATTGAGAAATTAATTAAAAATATTTTGAAATACTTTTATTG